CTTATGCTTTACATTGAAACTGGGAGGGGATGCTGTAGTCAGCTCAGTGGTATTATTACAGGATCTGAGGCTTAGTGTAGGCATTGCAACAGCAGATTGGAGAGACAGGTACAGTGAGATGTTTATTGCCTATGTTGTAGCAGGCAGAGTGCCTGCTGGTAGGATGCTTGCAATCAAAGGACTTGACTAGAGAGAACAGAAGCAACAACATAGGGTTGGGGGAAGAGGGTTGGGGAGATGGTGGAGGTAGGAGGAAAGGAGTGGCAAGTGCAAGTGTGTCATTATATGCTCTCAATCTTCAGTATTCGATTACATAATCACTTTGATATATAGCTTAAAGGTAAAACCAGATTATATTATAAGTCTAACAGAGTGATTGTTAACAATATTAATATATATAATTGTATGTTATCTTACCAAAAGTACTATAATCAACTTACAAGTATAATGTATCACTTTTATGAGTATTATAATCAATCAACTGCTGTTGTGTATTAATTTATATACAATTTTAATATATTACAACAAAAGTTAAGTACTTGTGTCTTACATATAATATTGTAGTAATAATGGTATTAACATTATTTGCTTTAAAAAACACTTGTAGTATAATACAATTCTTGTATAATTATTACATTTATATACAATTGTTACAATTTAATTATGTGCCAAGTATAATTGTTATTTTAGATTGTAATAGATATATAACTACATTATTAAATTACATTTGCTATTATTAAATACATTTGTTGCGACTTTTTCGTGATGGGACTACAAACTGATTCAATGGAATAGCCTGAAGCAAAACGTGCTAAATGTCACATTAGAATAAATCCAAGAAAAAACCCTGTGAAGTGCCAATATTGCAATCATCTGATGGTAAGCCAACAAATCTACTCACATTCATACACCTCACAATAATACTTCACATATCACAACCTCCATGTAGTGGTGTACTGAATCTTGCCTAAATTCTGATAGCTCACTATCAGAAGTGTCCTTCTACAAATAGTATGTATGGTACGGCTGCCAGTGCCAGTCAGTACTATCAGCATCCTGCTAATAGGATTCCGGTAGTAGCAGGAACTCTGCGGCAGCATATACCAGGGTACAAAAACATTGCCAAAGGGTATAAAGTCTACCAGTAGACTAGTCAAACGTGGGTCAGAGACGCAAGTGCCATTAGAACCACTCCAGCTGACGCATTCCAATTATCTACTATTTCCTACTTAGACTTTGTCGAATATGATAACTATATCATAGTCGTACTCTAGCTAGACTTCAATATAAATTATTTTGGCTTGTTTACTGCTATATATTCTACAGTAAGAGATGCTCGCAATTATGTCCAGCATGTGTATTAACACGACTTTACAGGACAGATATCAGACAACACTTGTATAAATCAAAACGTATTGAATGAATCGGCTGAAAGTGATAAGGTTGAAAGGAAGAATAAACAACCAGAGGGGTGAGGTGTATATGCAATGTGATTTATACTGCATGTACGAGGGAATGAAACTGAACGATAGTCTGTCTACTTAATGAGGTTACTTACATGGATCCAGATGACGTGATTACACGCAGAAGCTGTGTAGATAGCTCAAGCGTTCCCGACATTCTATCTCATCTCTTTCATAGAGCATATAGCTATAAGCCGAGTCAAATCGGAATGCTGCTTAACTATGTCGGCGACACTAATAGATAGTTCAACATGACTCCTGGGGAACAAACAGTTTTCCTTCGCTCTATCCAAGTGGTCTTTAGGGATGAACTCAATGCCTGTGATCAACGCGTAACTATATAGCACAATACACCATGTATCCCAGTTTGAATTACCTCCAGTCAAACCTCATAGCTTGTTCATAATTCCTCTTCCACTCCTCATCGGACCATCCTTCCATAGCAGCGATGTCTAGGAACCAGTCCAGATTCATAGCACGCTGATAGTTCCTCTCCCACTCCTCATTCGACCATCCCTCCATGGTGGCATTGTCTAGATTCTGTTCGGGTGCGCCTTCCTCACCATCACGGAAGGCGAGCATGATGTTTCCAATGCTAGCTTGTGCAGAAATACTCTGCGGCATGTGCCAATGCGATAGGTTTCTCTGTGTCGCGTGATCGGAAGCGTGGGCCAGAATAACGTTGGGATTGGAAAGGAACTCGCTGTACGCGATAGGCAAATTTCCGAGAATGATGCTACCCTCAACTTGGGATTCATCATTAGCTCTCTCCTCGTCGTGAGGGTCTAATGAGCGGCAATAGAACATCTGTTCACCAATACGAAAGATAACACGGCAATGATCATCGATATCGTAGACGACAGGAATAATGTCACCAAGAGCCTGGAGTCGGTTCCTTGCAACTGTTGAAGCAGTTCTATTCAGGAAATCTATGTCGAGGCTGCCCCAACGTGAGAGCGGAGTGATCCAATCCCATACAGCCTGGAACAGTATCCAGTCATTTGACCAGTTGCCAAAAGGCTCAAGACCATGTGCTTGATCGTACCAAGGAAGGATTAATTCTTCAGAAACTTCCGAAGGCAGACCATCATGCAAGTCGTACTCCTTCCGGATGTTGTAAAATACCGGAAGGTCCAAGCTGTCAGGAACCTGGGATAACATCAGCTTGGAAGGGCTGGAATAGGATATGTACTGTACCTGTGACAAATTTCGACAGGCTGAGGTCACGGGTGCACACTCCAGATTCTCCAGTAAGTCGTCCTGTAGACTTTGGCACGGAATGATATCTGACTCAAGGAAAGATGCAAATCGCACGTCGCCTGAGTTGGTTCCGAAAACTATGATTCCTCTTCCATCATCAAAGTCTAGACAGGAGATATCATACAGAAGAGGAAGGCCAGTTCTTTGAACCGATACGTATTCGCCAAATTTTGCATACAGACTGCTCTCTCCAACACCTGGAGCATATTGTACATGGGAGATCGACAGAGCAGGAGGGATCCACGCTTGGTTTGCATGCGACGTCATGCAGAAGACCATTTGTGTTGATACGCCAAATGAATAATGATACAAGGTCTGAGGGACTGGAACGTCTGGGTGGTTACCGCTCGGTGCATCGCTCACGGTAAATGAGGATGTGCTCCCCGTACTATCCTCTCTGAAAATCAAGGCTTCTCGAAGCCCGGATTTGAAATCCTGAAAGTGAAGGCGGAGGAATACCAGCGAATCATTTGCTCCCTGCTCATCGTCTCCGGCCGTAAATCGGCCATCGAATGCGCCGCTGGTTAAAGGTAGTTTTGTTACATATTTTGCTTCTGCTTCTGCTCCTGCTTCGTACGTGGAGCTGGCAATGTCCGGTAAAACAAATACATCGATTGCAGAGCGATGTAACGTAAATATATAACCATCCTTTATAGCCATTGTTACGCATGATTCCTTAATAAACGTAGAAAAGGTCTGAAAAAAATCATTTCAACTGAAAGGACGGACGTACTTGAGGGGCCTCCGTCGTCGAGTCTGGCAGCACACCACAAGGCACGCACAACGTGGAAATACATTTCGTCCTCCAGTTAAGAATATGAGGATACTTATCACTTCCGGAACGAACAGCAAATCCTATAAGGCTTCCACGAAGAAATACTACGTGAGATGCATCTGGAATCTCGGCAAGTTGATGAACGACGACCGTGCCTTGAGTACGGCTTAAGTTGAGAATGAGGATATACGGCGTGCTAAAATGAACCAGGAGATATTTAAACAATCATAGCAAAACTGATTCGTTGACGCTCACGAAGTTCCCACCGTGATAGCGCATCGGCAACATCCGTTGTCTTCATCCACCTGACCATCAAGAACAGGTGCATCGAGACAAATTTTAGTGGATAGCCTCGGTTCGCCCTCCGAAGGTACCTCCCAGACAGAGAATACGCTCTCATCATCGTTCGAAGATGCGATGAGGCACCAACGACCGAGAAGGAGTTTAATCCAAGTGACCCAAAGGCCTGTAGGACTTCCGAGCCTGCGAACCGATAATTCTCGATTTGCTTTTTTATAAGCCTTGTCGAGTAGGACTGCATGCTTGACCCAAGATTCCACGTCATGCGCGGCGACATCCTCGATACTACGTAAGTTATGCGGAGAACAGAGGCCACTTGCTTTCACGTGCGTAACGAAAATGCGCGTCCACAGCAGTTTGTCGTTAGAGATTGCTTCTGCAAGCGTAGAGCATGTCTTCAACGGGAAGAGATGTTAAAACTGTCAACGTAAAGAGTATGTTGCCGCACCTGACGAAGGCGAAGAACATCTTTAAGGTCCAGATTAGACCAAATTAGTGAATGTACGTCGTGAGGCAGAGTCTGCAAGGTAGTCATGAACTGGAAGGTAGGTCACGGAGACTGGCGCGGACAAGGATGGCAGAGCTTGAATCCAAGCTGAAGGCAAGTCCAGATATACCCGAGCATCAGATAAATGGCCAAAGGACAAAAGCACAAGCGTAAAACACAGGTACGGGACCTAGAAAAACAGGGTTGGTAGTGGAAGACCGCTACTACCCGAATTGCCGTATTTGCCATAGATCGTGCGACGTCGATCCACGTGTCGCCCTGAAACGGTTCTCTAGTACTTCTACCCTCTTTAAGGGTTGTGTCTCGGACACAACCTTGTTGCAACGTTTCAATAACCAATTAGCCTCGGAAGACCACCGTCATGCAGTGAGACAGATTCAGCAAAGGGTGTTCCCATATTCTTCGATGCAGTGAATACCCAGCTAATATTGTGCTTGTAATACTTATAGCTAAACAACTGTGTGGTAACGAACAAGCAGGTTGACTAGGTACTAATTCCAAAGACTGCATAGTCAGTGGAAGCGACTAGATGTAATCTATTGTAAAATCGACTTATCGAACACCTAGTGACTGAGTCCACAAAGATCATAAAAGAGTCTGTCCCATTCTTCCCCAGTCCAGCCTGCCATGGTATCGTCATCTGGGTACTGCTTGCACAACATCTCGTGATGCTCTCGAACTTGGTAGACTACGTTTGCTGCACTACATCGCGTTTGTCGAGTTTGTGAACCACGCCAGTCCCGGAGATTTGCATCCATTGCATGAATATCGCGGCTGGGCAAATGTCTGATGATTGATGGTGGATCACCCGAATACTGAGAGTACGTGCATGGTAGAATGCACAGGAAAATGTCCGGTTCGCCCTCAAATGCTACAGTTTCTTCTTCGTCGGAGTCGTCATCGTGATCAGGGTTTCGTTCAGATCTGCAGAAGAACATGCGTTCTCCGTTGCGGAAGACGACACGCTTGTGGTTCGTCACGTCATACAGCACAGGAATTAGGTCTCCTAATGCTTGGAGTCGGTTCCGTGCGAAAATAGACGGCGTCGTGTTGAAAAAATCTTTATCAATGGGACCCCATCGCGAAAGCGGTATCACCCAGTCCCATAGACATTCGAATTGCGACCAGTCATTTGACCAATTCGAAAATGTCTGTTTTCCGACTTGCTCGTCGAACCAGTCACTAGTCACGTCTTCACGAATCGAAGGTGGAAGTTCGTCACCAAATTTGTAAGTCTCCCTGATAGTGTAAAACACTGGTAAATCCGGAGGAACTGCCGCCTTGATTCGAGAAGCGTCATCCGGCTGTTAACATTCAGTTTCGAAAATCTGACATACCTCTGAGAGCTTCTGCGAAACTGGAGTCACCACCTCCGTTGCCAAGGATCCCAAAGATTCGATATGTACACACTCGTGTCTTATGATGTTCTTGTCCATGAATGCTGCAAGACGAACGTCCCCCGACCTAGTTCCCATCAACAAATAGCCATTTCCGTCGTCAAACGAGAGACTGGTGATCAAATGTGGGAGTGGAAGTGCTTCCCTGGAGACTGGTACGTAATCACCGAAAGAAGTGAACAGCTGGTTCTCTTCATCAGAACCGACTGTTAATTCAATGGGCATTGTTGAAAGCGTCGGTGGTAACCAGCAGTGCGACTTTAATGTCGTCACACAAAATAACCTGCGACCTGAAAGGCCCAGGGCATAGTCGGTCAACACCGGGGGACGCGATTCTGGGAAGGCTGTCCAAGGACTAATGCTTAGTGTTTCGCATAAGTTGAAGGCTCTGGTTTGTTCCATGCCTCTGTTGCGCAGTATTACAGCCTGGCGGAACGCAGAGGTTTTATCCTGAAAATATAGTCGCATAAACAAACCTGATCGTCCAATTTTCCTAATTTCGTCTTCGGATACATCCAAAAATTGGCCATACCAAGCGTGCACTTCGAGAGCCAAAGTAGCTATGTGGCCTGGATCGTGCATGCCCTTGGATGGAGGGAATGAGAAGACATGTATTGCAGTTCGGTGCAAGGATAAAACAAATCCTTCCTTGATTGTCATTGCAATACACGGTTCCTAGAAAAACTCCAGAGCTTGGTCACTTGAAACATGATAGCTGTACGTACAAATGGGAGCAATGAGGGGACTTGAGAAAGAGCACTACTTGGGATATGGAGCTTGTACGAGTTCCAGTTCTTCCAATCGATGATATGAGGATAAGAATCGTCATTCTTCCAGGTTGCAAATCCAAGGCAACTTCCTCGAAAGAAGCGGACGTGTGATGCACCCGATATGGAAATAAGCTCGTCCAGCGTGACTTTTTCTGCATGTTCAATTATATTGAAGATGAGTATATACGGGGCTCTTTGTGTCCAATGGTTGAGAAAACAAACATCAGACAATTAGTCTAGGGACTCACGAAGCTCCTATAGTAATTGCGCAGTGAACCTGTTGACACGACTCATCTGCCATCCCATCTATGACAGGAGCGTCCAGAAATACTCTCGCAACCTGACGAATCTCCCCTTCTGGAGGAATCTCCCATACCGAAAATTCACAGGTATGAACATCAGCTGAGGCGACAAGCGCCCAATGCCCGTGAACCAGTCTGAGCCACGTTATTCCCAACTTTTCGCGGTTCGCTATCCTCCATGCATGAAGCTTTTTGTAAGGTGTTCGGTAGTTTCTATCAAGCAAAACGGCATGTTTTACCCACGACTGGATATCACGCACATGAACGTGCTCGAGATTGCCCAGATAGTTCGGGATACATAGGTCGTTCGCTACGACGTTTTGCTCGTACATGCAGATCCAAAGTTGCTTATCATTTAATATCGCGGAAGACAACGTGCAACATGTCTGTGAAAGCGATGGGTCCAACACCGACAAAAGAAAACCGTTCGGACAGCACCTGGCTAACACGCAATATATCGGCCAGGCTGAGTTCAGACCAAATTAAAGAGAGAATATCCTGGGGCAGTGTAAGAATGTTTTGCATGTTTTGCAGTCACCCTGTGTTGACGCATTACCGATACTTTAAGTGTAGATGGCGGCAGAGTTGTGTATGATCAAGTCTAGCAGAGAGGAACCTACTTAGACACCGAGCCGAGGAATTAGGGCCAAGACTGATTGATTGCCGAAAAGCCCGAATACGGCTGCAATCAACCTCGAATGCTTCTATATATAGTGCAAGCAAACACATCTTGCTGAAAAAATACATGTGAGTCAAAGTAAAATAAATAAACAAACGCTTGCTGTAATTCCTGTTAGTATTACAATTGACTTCAAGTTGAAGAAACAATCGGAATTTACGAGTACAAATCGATTCAGTTATGTAATCATCGCGTATCAATTGAATCTTGAAGCCACTTCCCTGAATCCTTCGCTTCGTGCCAATAAATGCCTACTTACTCGCCTTCCTTGACTTCCTACAACCACCATGTCGGGTACAATAGAGACTGGAATGACCGATCTTTCGCTCAATAAATCCACTACTACTGTGGATTTGACTGCCGGCAAACAGAGAGCAATTATCAAGTGAGCAGTCGTTCATTCGCAACGTGGTCTTTTCCGCCTGACTATTTTCATAGTGGCAAGACACGTACGCATCCTAGTGAATGGGTCTTTGTATTCCAGTCTAAATGCAAATACTTTCGACGCCTGTCTGAGAAATACGGGCTTGACTGGGAGAATGACATGTTCAGCGCTGTATTAACCATCACGCAATGGGTTCAGAATGCAGCAAACGTGCACTTCAACATACGCGCTGGGACCTATCGAGGAGCTCCCGACCAGTTTGTTACGTTCTTGGAGGATCTCTGGAGGAGCTTGCATCGCCTTAAGGTATCTGACGAGCAAATGGACAAAGTGCGCGCCTTGATGGGCATCCCAGAAGGTCGGAAGCCACGGTGGTACGATGCTACTGACCAGCAGAACGATCCATACGTGGAATCCATTGGTGATGAGGCTCCTCCCTTCATTCCAAAACAGAAGTACAAGGCCAGTTCTTATGTTGAAAGGTGTGAAAGAGATCAGTTGTTCCTGCCCGAGGAAGACATTGAGTTCTCAGAGGACGAAAACGAGATTGCATGATTTGAACCAGCGTCTTCGCATGGTTCAAAAGGTTTTACTGTATTGTATTGTATTGTGGAATGAAACTCTGTTGTTGTAATTTGCGTCTGCATTCATGTTCTCATTGTGTGGGTAATCCGATTCAGACCGAGTCCGTTTCGAAGATATAACATAGAGCCTCTATTAGATTGCGCTCTAGCTCTAGATTAGGAAACCCCCAATTGCCTTTTGTAGCGTTACTGCACTTGGAATGTCTCAGACTATCAGACTTCACACTGTAGTATATAAGGCAGATACTTGCCTGATGTCTCAATAAGAGAGAGTTGGGGGGCACTCCTGCTATGCTTGTTTAAAAGGTTATGAGCCTTAGTGCCCATTGAATGCCCCCACATACTCACTCTTGCAGAACACCTTTGCCTCCTGCTAGTGCACCAAGCCCTAGTACTTCCCCTCCCTCCAAACCCATTACAATGTTGTCTACAACACATACCTTTGTTAACACTACAATGAAGGACTCTGATGTTACAAAGTTCTTTAAAGGAACAGAAAAGTTGGCTGGTGTAAAGGGATATAAGATATAGTGCTTACACATACACAGTGTGCTTGCTGCCATGATGCTCTCAGATCATCTAGAGCACAATCCCCCTTCCTCTAATGATGCTGGCATATGCACAGGTAATGTTTTGTATTATTGTATTATGAAAACAATAACTGATACAATATATACAAACTTTACAATACATACAAGTGTTAGAAGTCTTATGAAGGTGCTTTCTGAATGATACAATGTTCAAACAACAATGACACATGCTGTAGACATATCTATGTTGTTTACAGTTAAAGGGCATGTATCACAGTTTGACATTAGGAAAAAGTCAGATTTCTTGTAATTTCTTATAGACTTTGTAAAGTAACATATGTACTGTATATACATTATAAAGTAATTATAAGGCTTGTAATTGAATTGCAATATTTAAATAAGACATATTAATGTATATAAAGACTACATAAGTACTAGGGATGAATAAAAATCTATTACATGTATTATACTAACTTTATATAACAACCTAAAGTGTTATGCTTGTATTATATTTAAATTATAATCTTAAAGAAAGAGTTATACTTATAATATAATAATGTAATAATTACTATTGTTGCCTTATAATTTATACAAAAGGTATATTAATGTATATCATACTTAGATTATTTATACAAGCAGTTTACAATTATTGTAAAAGGCATTTTATCTACTTGTAATAATTACATTAGTATGTTTAGAAAGCTATATACATGTTATATTTCTTTTTACTGTATTACAAAGTAGATCAATAATTTTATTTTATACCTAAATACAATAATTGAAATGTTCTATCAGTTGACAACTCATATTATAGTTGCTTATGTAATCAACTGCTGAAGATTGGGAGTATATAATAATGTATTTCTCTTTGTTACTCCTTTACCTTCTACCTTTACTGTCTCCCCAACCCTCTGCCCCTAACACTATGTTTTTGCCTCTGTTCTCTCTAGTCAAGTCCTCTACTCACAAGTGTCCTACCAGTAGGTACTCTGCCTGTAACAACATAGGTAACAAACATTACTATACTTGTCTCTCTAATCTACTACTGTGATGCCTGTACTGAGCCTCAGATCTTACAATGACACAACCCAGCTGACAACACTATCCTTTAGTGTAAAGTATAAGTAGCTAGCCTACTTCATAATAGTCTACACAATAGTTACTCATCCCTCTCCTCTCAACTTTTTGTCTCCCTTCCATCCCTCCTACTCCTTACTCTGCCATTTACATTACCTCTCCTTTACTATTCTCACTTTTTTATGTTCACCTTCCTTTTTGCATTCACACATACATTTGTATTGTTGACTAATGCTAAACAACTTCTTCAATAATTCTATACATTTATATACTTCTTCCTACTCTGTAGTACAGACAATAATAATGAGTACATGCTTGTAACAATGTCCCTGTACAGCTACTCCTGTCATGCTACTCTCTCTCTCACCTAGTACACACTCTCCTTTTCCACACATTCAGTACTTGAAACTACTCTAGATAGATATTTGTATTCCTCTGTACTAGGTATAGAATTGTATTAAACAGAAGTATTGACCTACTACTCATACTACTCACACTGAGTCTGTCTGCAACTTCTACATTACCTTCTCTCTTCATGTCAGGATGTCCCAGAGATACACTCTTGTGATTAATGACTCAGTACACTGTACCTTCTATTACTTACTATAGTAAGAGTATATAGTATACACACACAGATACAGATTTGCCTGTAGCTCAAATCAGCTTGCTTGACACTCTGGATCTCAACCTAGTACACTACCTACCCTTCCTACACATTGTCATAGTGTGTCCCTCTCCTTGCTTCAATTACCTGTACTTGCTAACAATTCTGTCCCTTAGGTGAAGACTAGTCTAATATATTCAAAGTATGATTCTCTACAACTGGACACTCCTTTCCTTTCTTTCTCTCTTTTTGTGTCTGTATGATTGTTTCACAAGTACAATATTATTAGAATGAAATGTAGTAGAAATAAATTAATACAAGTATATTAAAATGTAAATACTTAATTATAAGAGGAAAAGGAGAGAAATAAATGAATACCTAGATTGTAAAATATTATAACTATTTTGAAGCCTTATAAAGCTCTTATAAAGTATAATAATATTTAACAATATACAAAGTACTTTTAAAGCTTTACATTAGATTGTATATATTATAAAACTATATTACTCTTGTTAAAATACAGAGTTCTTTTAATATCTTTTCATTTTAGGAGGTTGGATATAAGTTCATTTACATATTGTCAATACTTATAAACCTTATTAATATTAACAATTTGTACATACCTTTTTGTATCTTATATAGCTTTTTATAATTTTCTCATTTTAAGAGGTTGGATATATAGTCTTTTATATTTTTTAGAAAATTTATATAATTTATATGTTTATAAGCTAATATAAGCCTTAAGACTTTTTCCTGATAGATAAGATGTTAGACAACATTAAACAAATCTACAGACAGTTGTCTACACATAATAAAGCCTCTAATAACAATACATACATCTCAACAATTAACCTCACTACTCCTTATGAGTATAGATGGGTAGCCACAATGCTACACAGGCAGATTACCTATTATAATCAACTACTAACAGTTACAGTAGCTCAGAAAGACATTCTGACACTAGCTAAGTTGATACACAAATTGTAAAACACATATACTAAGTATCATTCTCAGTACTCCCAAACAAAACAAGATGCTGAACAAGACAGCCTACAAACAAAAGGCAAAAGTGTAGCTAAAGGCAAAACAAAGCCTTACAGTAAAGTTAAATGCTACAATTGTAATAAGTACAGGCATATGTTGAAAGACTGCCAAAATCCCCTAACAAGCAAAACA